AAGCTAATAGGAAAGTCATTTCAATTCAAAGCAGAGTAAAAGTTAATTATATTAAAAAGTGATGATAGTATAATATTATTCAGTTATAGTTTTTACTCATTTATATTTATATTTTCTTTTAAAAAGAATAAGATATAATCCATGGCCAGTTTTTGTTTTCAATGAAATACCAAGAAAACCTGTAATTAAATTGAATTTATCATTAAATGTAATAAATTCATTATTGGACCAATAATGTACGTCATCTAATTATCTCAAAATTAACATGTATGAAAATGAAAAAACAGATTAAGACTAGAGCCTAATAACATAACAATACTTCATAATACATATGAATGAAGAGTCTCGGATGGATTAGGTAAATAAGATCACAATAGGAGACAAAACAGATAGATAGACTGAAGAAAAAGAACAAAAATTAAGAAACAAAATAGTGCATTCTTGAATTCATTTTATGAGTGAAATAACTTTCGTTGACAAAGAATTTTGTTTAATAAAAATTATATATTCATATAATTACAAAATTAGAAAAAAGGCATGAGACTGTTTAATAATATACATGGGGCTTTATGTCAGAAATATTAATTATTGTAAAAATCTGACGCGACCACTGACACATGTCATAAGAATATATAATATAGTGATTAATATATCTGATATTTACTCTTATCCCATTTTACTCTATTGCGTGTTATTTACAATAAGACCTGATGCGAGACGGAGGGTGGCTTTGGACTTGCCGTTGGAACCGGATGTAAGCAGTACATATTTGCATCCATCGACATGCAAGAATATCTCAGCTGGTTATCCGCAGCGGATCGCATCTACTTCGCTTTCGTCGCCAGGATAGTCTTTCAACAATCAGCTGAACGATGATGTAACTTTGCTATAAATTAAAACGTACCTAATATCATTTTACATCGTTCTCATCTGCAATTGACTGTGTTGTTTACTGAAGCGCGTATAGATAGATTCAGTGAAAGGCCATTAGTCATATTGTGCCATGATTCTTCAATGACGGCATAAATTAATTAATCCAAATGCGATTGATCGGGTGAAAGTTGGAAAACTTATAGTACTGGCTAAATGCGCGGAATCCACGGAAGATAAAAAAGATATAATGAAAACTGCGTACAGTATCAGTTTTTTCGATGAGAGTGCCTTGTGTGATTGGCTGATTAACATTCACCTCGACATCGTAACTGTTTTCGCTCCCGTCCTCACTTTTTAAGCAATTTTATAAGCTCGTTTATGCGCTTTTTCATTGACTGTTTTTTTTTCGGTGACACTCATAACGATAATTATGTCTTATTTTTTTACGATTCGACTAAAACAGTGAATATGTTTGACTCCAGCCATTGTAATATCGAGAAATATTAATATCAGAAATCGTTATGTTATTTTATTGTTTCATTATTATTAACTTATTTGCTATAGTTATATAATCAATATCTGTATAATATCTTTATGAATACTTATCGGTCATATCAAATTTGTTCTTATTATTTAAAATAAATAATTATAAATAATTATATAATTAGTCCTTAACATACATTGGATAAATATGTTTTTCTAACAAAGAGTATGTTAACACTTCAGTTTGTATAATTTTATATTTGTATATACAATATATTTATAACATTTTCTAGTTACACCTAGTGAAGATTAATTATTAGAATTCTTTAAATCTAATTATATAGAATGCATGTCTGTGATATATTGAAATATATTTATCTAAAAATGCGAGCACATGAAATATAATTTGACAACAGTCAGTGTGTTCTTAATCCATTTCGTAAAATTGAGTAAAAGGTTGCCGTCAGTTAAAGTGCGAGAACTCACGCGATATTCACGAATCGGTGAGGCAAATGTTTTCAATGTGTGGACATATTAAAAGTTCACAAATAATCATGTGGAAATTTATAATTATCTAATCGAGCAGGACCGAAAGAAACTAATAATCACCTCATTTAATTAAATATATTATAACATTTTAAAACTATTCTCTCTCATTGCTTTCCAAAATTATATTAATTCTATTTGAAATAAATAAATAATACGATACGGAACTCTGTGAATAATAAATAATTTTAATATTAATATCAATTAAAATTAATATTATTTATAAAATCTTTCATTTCATAATCCCGTGATTAAATAGGAAATAATTCTTCTATTAATAATATTTATATTACACAGAATAAATAATATTAATATTAACATTTTATTAATATTAAGAGAATCTTACGTTATATGATTAGACGAATAAATGATAATGTGCTCCAAAGTGGGATAGACTTCTTTGGCGGTCAACAACATCTTCGGATAATTTTGCACTTTGAACATGTCCGGTGAGACAATCGCTTTTATGCCAACTTTTTGCAAACAATAAATTAATTCATTCTGTTGATAAGCCGGATTAATCGCGACAACGATTAATCCCACCCTCGATGCACTCAGGGAAGTTATGAACCATTCGAGATCATTCGGACCCAAATGCCCAGCCGATCGCCCTTCTTCATTCCTAATTTCTTGAGGCCCGCAGCAAAAGCGTCAACCCGTCGAAGAAGGTCGGAGAACGTTAATCGAATATTTTGATGGATCGAAACGATACAAGTTTGTTCGGGCCACGTTGCAACAGCTTCGCCGAGTGTTTGCCCGACGTTTTGTCCGACAATGGAAATTCGCCGGGATTATACATATGAGCAACTTTGATTGCTTGTGAAAGATTAGCTTTCGTTTGGATGTTAGACTTGCGATGTTGACATCGTCCTGCAATTGCAATTAATCGCAACGTAAATCTATACACGATCGTTTTTCAAATCATACATATCTTTGAATTTTAGATATTTTCTATATCTTTTCTTTTATAGTTTCCTTTATTAAATTTTTATGTAACTAATCTTCGTATTAAGATAATAGCCATTAAAATAACGGTACAGACGTTTTAAAAATAACAATATATGAATTATATTGGCGCATTCTTCAGTATAGTGAGGTGATTATATAAAATAGTAAACATATAATAATAGAACGAACTTTAAAGTTGCATCTTTATTTGTTCTATTGATTTATTCACTTACCTTCAAAATTAGTGTGTGATATAGAAAGACATCGTAAATAGCTGTGACGATTTACAATTCTAAACATAATAGATCGTGAAATCGAGTTACACAGAGAAAGCATCTTTCCAATGAAGTAGTTACTTGTATCGCGTAAACAAGTACAAAACCCTGCAGTTGTATACTAAAACAGAAAAATAACATAAAAACATAAAAAATTTATTGTTATCATGTTTTATCTGGTTTACGCTTAATATCTGGTTTACGCTTTTATCTGGTTTACGCTTTAATTATCTGGTTTACGCTGGTTACGCGTATCTGGTTTTATCTGGTTTTATCTGGTTTTATCTGGTTACATTAAAATAATCTATATTTATAATTAGTGTTATCTCTTTTCTAATATTAGACATATGTGAAATCTTATATGAAATCTTATATGAAATCTTATATTATTTAGATTATTGTTCAATGTACTTGGCTTTAATGTATTTGGCTAATTAATCATTGATTTCATATTTAGTTTTGATTTTTTTCAGGAAAATTATATATTTAGGAAAATTATTATATATATTTTTGAGAGAAAATTTTTATTATAAAGGTATTCACATTATAATACATATAATTTTACAAAGTTTGCGAATTATATACCTGTAATTAATTTCAATTATAGAAATATGAGAATTATAATACGATCCGAACACGCAAGTTTTTGTAAATTGTTTTGGTCTTAATTTTTTTAATTCGAAATTTACTTGGATATATATATATATATATATATATATATATATATATATATATATTATTATTATAGATATAAGAAATATTTCTGTGTAACTATGTTTGTGTCTACGCAGGCAAATGTAATAAATGTCTACGTAACTATAATTATGATTGCGCAGTAAAATATGTAAATTTCCACACACACACACACACACACACACACACACACACACACACACACACACACACACGCACGCACGCACGCACGCACGCACGCACGCACGACGCACGCACGCACGCACGCACGCACGCACGCACACATATATATATAATTATAAATTATACAAATATATATTCCACAAAATGATAACTGTCTATTCTCTTTATTAATATAATATGTCAAAATATATTATGTCTAATCTAAATAGAAATGAGAAAAATTTTACAATATTTACCTTTTGATTGATAAATCACAGTTTACTTGGCGATCGTTAAGTGTCACAAATCTGAGTTTTTTTTTACTAATCAATGCATTCGGCGTTGCAACGCTACTGTGTCGCTTGATAATAATTTTTAATAATATGTCACTTGTCTTCTATTTTTTTAAACAAGTAATTTTAACGTGTCACTTCTTTTCCTTACACTATTCCGCACTATACTTTAATAAATGTATCTTTTATACGTACATACATATACATAAATTTTAATAAATTATCTTTCATATGTACGTACACATACATATACATATCACATGTATGTGCGCACATGCGCACATATGATTTTGTCACTTAAAGCATTGTACATATCGAAGCAATAATCATATATGCAGCGATGTGAACGCCGCTTGAGTGACAAATTCGCTTTGCGTGTGTGCGTGTGAGCATATGCACGTGAGACTACTGGAAATGAAGGAAAACGAGAAATGTCACAATTCTGATATTCGATCATCATTTCTCAGGATTGACTGCATCGATTTTGTTCAAACAAGTCGCAATCGAAAGCATTTATTCACGCCGTTTTATAATAAAAGTGTCATTAGATTTTTGATTACGGCTTTAGTTTATTAAATATCTTAACCGAAAGTTTATTTGACGCGAAATTCCGGATAAGGTACTTGGTAGCGCCGCGTCGAGAGCAGTGACTCCCAACTCAATACGTGGAACTTAATGCTTGGACTTGTTTTTTATGTACTTGGCGTCGCGACGCTACCACGTCGCTTGATATTGTAGTTGTCATCTCAAAAAAATATAATTATTTAATTCTACTTTAAGAAAATTACAATCTTTGATTTAAAATATTATTTCCTATTTAACATTGTTTCAACATTCTTTCCACTGAAGAAAATTAAATCTTAAATCATAAGAATATATTTTTCTTGATTGAACTATATAAAATGGCTTCATTAAGCAAGTAATTATTCAAGCAATTATATTTTTTCTTTAATTAACGCATATATATAATATAATCTCATTTTAAGATTTCCATATTAAAACTAAAGATATTTTCGAAACAATAATGTTCTTTTTTTGTGTGCACGTATATCATCCACCTACCTATATCCGCCAAGTAGCTACCGGATATCCATTAGATATACACGTATTTCACATGTCTACATTCACACACAAAAAATACAGAACATTAAATTTTAGCACAATTTTTTAACATCTTTGAATAATTAGCCACAACAAGCAAAAAATCACTTCATCTAAGGCAGTATAAGACCACGGCACAAATTTAACGAGTTGTGGCTTATCGGTCAAAGAGCGCAGATTATTATAGCCGCATTTTCTCTAGCTTTTGCGAGGAACTCCAGAACTCTATATAAATTAAGTCAGATGGTTAATTTTTTTTGGCGAATTCCGTCATACATGTATCCATATACAGAACATTGAACAAATATCCATCTAAAAATAAATATCAATATACATGTAATAAATGACGGCAATGATCTTTACGGACGAAGCTTCTGTTTGGGGATATATTACCATTCGACGTTCCTGGTCAATAGATGGTCCTTGGCCAATAGATTAATACAACGGACCGTTAAACACCCTGTAAAAGTTCATCTTTGGGGCTGCTTTTCAAAACAGGGTTTTGGGAGCATTACATCTGTTTACATACAATTTAAATGCTCCGAAAATGCTTAATATTTATGAAAAGTGTTTGTTGCCGACTGCTGAACGATGTTTCATAAAAAAAAACGAGGATCTTACAGGAAGACAACGACCCAAAACATCGGAGCAAGCTTTGCACCGAGTGGAAAGAGCAGTCTGGCATCGTCACACTTGATTGGCCATCGCAATCGCCAGATGCAAATCCCATTGAAAATGTGTGGGCATATCTCAAACACATGCTTTGAGGAAAAAGAGTATGCACTTTGAAGCAGCTGACACGACAAATTCGTCTCATTTGGAGGTCTTTACCGAACGAATACGCAGTCAACTTAGTGGAAAGTATGCCTCGGAGATGTCAGGCAATTATCAATGCCGGTGGTGACTGGACTCATTATTAATGGTATAGCATTTTTCTTTTCATGTAGTACAACAAATCCATGTACTTATAAATCATTAAAAATAAATTTTTCTACACATTAACCTGTACACGCTCTTACTTTACAGACTGTATATATATATATATATATATATATATATATATATACATATATATATATTAAAAATATCTGAATGTTGTTCGTATTTTTGCGGGATATTGATTTATACATACCCTGATGTACGCTCGGCAACCAAAATGCCTTAACACCTGAATTTGCGCGTGTCAAGACATATTCGGATGACGTACTTTCACTCTATTATAATTGCGCATCATGACTATTTAATATCTGGCAACGATGTCCCAAAGCGATTTTACGCAAAATTCAAACTAATGTGTGACATATCTGAAAAAGTGGTTATATGTCAAATATGTCAAAATGTATATGATTAGAAAATAAGTAATGCACATTAATTATATAAAATATTAAAATAAAATACATTAAATATATAAAAAATATAGCGTGATATGAATTACACATATTATTGCCAGTTTTTTATTGTGTGTCGCAGATTTGAGGATGAGCGACTGCTGCTTAAATATAAAAACTTAATATGTGTAATTCATATCACGCTTTATATTTTTTATATATTTAATGTATTTTATTTTAATATTTCATATAATTAATGTGCATTACTTACTTTTTAATCATATACATTTTGACATATTTAACATATGTTAAACCACTTTTTCAGATATGTCACATATTAGTTTGAATTTTGCGTAAAATCGCTTTGAAACATCATTGCCAGATATTAAATAGTCATGACGCGCAATTATAATTGAGTGCAAATACGTCATCTGAATATGCCTTGACACAGGCAAATTCAGGTGTTAAGGCATTTGGTTACCGAGTGTACTTATGAAACCTCGAATTGCAAACATTTGAATATCTACAACATCTGGAATGACTATTTATATTCGTGGATATCTAATACCAATTATTTTTCGTATGGGGGAGAGAGAGAGAGAGAGAGAGAAAGAAGGAGAGGGAGAGAGAATAATATGTATAATATATATTATATAATATTAATATATATAATAATATATATAAATAATATAATATAATATAATGAAAATATAATATAGTATTTATATACAAATTATATAACTTATATAAATAATAGCATTATAATAACAATATAAATATTCTATATAATTATATAATAAATATTTTATACCGTTTTAATATGATTGCTGATTAAAAATAAAGCAGTCCATTGTCTAACTCTCATTCTGAAAGCTCTGTTTTTTAAGTGTTTTTCAATCATATTAAAACGATATAAATAATGTTTCTTCTTAAATAAAATTGTATCTCCTTAAACAAAAAATAGAAAACTTCAAATATTTTAAAGCGAAGTTTTTATTTTTCGAAACATCTTGTATTTTCGCTAGCAAATTGTGCTTTTATTTGTACATATTCAATAGAGTGATTTGATTACAAAAAGTATAATTGCATCTTTTCCATGCATTGTTGAATTCAAGAAAAAATAAGATCATTGAAAAATAATTATTGTTATATTATTCAACTTTCTTTCATTTCTTTATCTTTTTATTTGCATTATTATCAACTATTCTCCAGAAAATCATAATGGATTATTATTCTGGATCTTTTGTGTATCAGGATGTATAAAATTAGTATACATTGCCAGAATTGAAAAGATTTATTAATTATTATACAATAATAAAAATGTTATAATGTAAATTATAAAATAGATATAAGAACTGCTTTTAATAACATTTATTTATTAAATAACATTCAATAATAATTTTATATCTAGAAAATTTTAATAACATTTTGTTTGACAAATGAAGTTATTAAAAATTAAATTTTATTACAAAATTTTCGTTAAAATCAATTATTATCACAAATTTTTTTATCTCGTTGGTATCACGCCACTGTTCTCCAATTGTTCTTTTAAACGAAACTTCAGAATTTTTCCACTAGTGGTTTTTGGGTAGTCATCTACAAAATGCACATAACGCGGTATTTTGAAATGTGCTATTTTACCTTTACAATAATCTATCACTTCGTTCTGTGTCATTTTCGCATTGTCGCTAAGTTGAATGCACGCACATACTTCTTCTCCGTAAACTTCGTCATACGCTCCTATAACTTGTGCCTCTATTATTTTAGGATGAGTCATTAGAAAATCCTCAATTTCCTATAATAAAAAATAAAACATACAATTAATATGAGTGAAATATATTGATTATTGCTTCAGAAAATGAAATATATTGATTCTTGCTTCAGAAAAGTGGCAATCAAAATCAAATCAAAATAATGATATCGTTAATAGCAAACAAAATAAATCTTTAAATTACAGCCATATTTAGATAAATCATTAGATATATCTATTTATACTTGAATTATCATTTTTTTCGAAAAGAGTTTTTATCAAATATTTTTTCATTTTTATTATACATAATAACAAGCATATTACTTGGATATAGCAAATACTGCGAATTAAATACTAATATATAATAATGATATTTATATAATTTTACCTTAGGGAAAATATTTTCTCCTCCCCGAATAAGCATGTCTTTTAATCTTCCGATTATCACGCCATATCCGTTTTCATGCAAGATGAATTGATCCCCAGTTTTCAACCAACCATCCTGCGTCAATGTCTTCCTTGTATTCTCTTCGTCATTCCAATAATTTAACATATTGGAATATCCGCGTACCCAAAGTTCGCCAGGTTTTCCGAAGGCAACAGGCAAACCATTTAGATCGACAACCTTTTGTCAAATACATTAACAAAACTTTAAAAGCTCTAATGTAAATTTTTAAACAAAATATTGTATCGAAATTAAAAACAATATATACCATTGCTTCGATATGATCTCCTAAATAACCCACGGTGGTCTCAGATAAGTATTTATCCTCTTCACGTATCGATTGAAATACTGCACTTGTCTCTGTGAGACCGTATAGGCTCTGTGAATTATAATCGAAAATTTATTATAATAATAATCGGACTTTCCGAAGAGATCTGATTTGGGCGTGTTAAAATTGTTTTCCAAGGGTTGTAATGTTGATCGCATGATGATATACGAAAAATGTTATAAAGTATTGATTGTGAACTTACTATTAAATCATTAAAACCTAATAAAT